TCATGGAAATTTAAGGAAATGTCATTAGGAAAAGAGGAAATTTGGATTTTTAAGTGGAAGCACTGGCTTAAAGACAAATAATGAATAATGAAAAAATGCCGCATGTGGTTGGGCGTTGTGAAAACCCGGAATGCCGGAATATGGCGGAATATCACAGAATATGGCGGAATATCACGGAATATGGCGGAATATCACGGAATATCACAACATTTTCCCGGGAATATACCGGAAATCACAATATTTTCCGATGGTAGCCATGCGACTGTTTATAAACATAGACGTCTGACAACATATTTTATTACAAAAGTGATGGATCTTTCCCATTTTGACGGTAAGTAACAAACAATAACTCCATTCTGGAAGTTTTATATGTTGTTTATATCATTATTACGAGTGTTCACCAAAAATGTTGAATCAATATGATTAATTCCTCCTGAGTTACAGCGCTTGAAAACGAAAGTACTGACGTCAGCATTATTTTCGAACGCCTTCAGAACTGTACACGAATTTAGTTAAAATTGACCACTTTATACCACCAAGCATTTATCCAAAAATCAAATGCTAAAATAAAGGCAAGTTTGAGCCAGTTGTATATATCAGGTAAGAAGTCCCATCTTAATAATTTTTAACTAAATTTTATGTATAAAGGCTCGTTCACACTTGCAATTTTTACTGCGATTTTAGGTGTGATTTTCATCAGAACTGATGGATGTGAACGAGCGGATAAGCTATGAATGTTTAGATGAGGGTACATGGGGACTAGCTAACAGTCGTGGGTCGTGGGTCGTGGGTAGAATGTCGTGGGTAGAATGTCGTGGGTAAAAAGTCGTGGGTCGTGGGTAAAAAGTCGTAAGTCGTGGGTAAAAAGGCGTGGGTCGTGGGTAAAAAGGCGTGGGTTCCAAGCAAAATATTTCCATATATTTACCTTTCTCCCTTTGGAATGCGTGTTTTTTTTTCTTCTGAGGCTTTCCCAAACTATGCCCAAATATGCATAGCTTAGAGCGCGTTAAGGCCGGGTTTTTGATATCGGCAGATCGGTTTATAAATATTATAACCAAGTGTGGATGAAACAGTTCAACTTCAAGCCCCATATAGCTCAAATATTTGGACGTTGTAATGTTATAGACAGATAAATATTGTAATTCTTCAATAGGAAATAGTGCTGTCAAGCCTGTCATAAATAGCTAAATTCTGACATTCAGGGCTTCACTAATTTGTAGATCGATGTTCTTACAGTAATAAGCGAGAAATTTCCACTGGACAGTGTTAATTTAATGCAATGTCTGTTAATTTACTAGGGGAAAATAAAAGAAAGCATTTGAGAGATTTCACTTAAATACATACTTAGTATCTAACCATGATGTTGGAGTAGTGAATCTAGTGTCAAATTTATTATATGATTTGTATTTTCTAATGGGCATATTGTAAACACTCGACTGGACTTTGGACTGGACTTTGGACTTTGGACTATGGACTTTGGACTTTCGATTTTGAAATTATATTTTTTTAGATTTTCGTATAATTATATTAAAAATTTTAAATCTAAACAGGGAACGAAAATTTGCTGCTGAAAAGCGTGCTACACTGCATGCACATGCATGATATAATATACAAGGTAAAAAATCTCTAGTATCAGTTATATAGGTATACCAGCAGTGCAATTTCATACGGATATAGCCTGTAGGATAGCAGGATTATCCAATATTTTGCGATTTAATATTTAAATTTTATATAATATTTGTATTTATAGTATGCATAGTACAGTTTATACTGCAGAACTTCTTCTTTATCATATAGATAATAGATTAATTGTCAGAAACAAATGTGACAAAAGTGTCTCGGCAAATACAAAATATTAACTATACAAGTGATTATTATTGCGCCTATTGAGTATTGAGTATTGTGACTGTTCATCTTTGCATAATAGTTTATACTAGTACTGAATTGTGTAATTGTTTACTCCGTTACACAGTAACGTTTTGTTAATGTTACTTATTTTTGAAAGACATTCTAGTTAGCTATCCTTATCACTAAGACTAAATGCTTCAGTTATTATTAATAAGTGTTAGTAGATGGACAGGAATATTCGAACGGAAATGTACACACTTTTTAAGACCTACTCAGTTGTGTATGAGAAGGCAAAAATCTATGTCTATGTGCTTCAGGTAGTCTAGCAACTATTTGCCACGTTTACTGGACTTACTGTAATACTGAGGCCCCATTAGGGGGGGTATGGGTATTCCGTATCCCTGTTATTTTTCGTTCAAATATCCCGTATTCCTATAATTATTCAGTATTGTATCCCTATAATGCCAAAATTAAAGAGTACATAGGACATGGACAATATATATATCCCGTATCCCTCTAATATCCCGTATCCTTTTAGTATCCCGTATCCCTCTAATTTTCCCCTTAAATATCCTGTATCCCGATAACCCCTAATGGGGCCTCAATACTACCACTTGCAAGTGATGAACCAGGCGGGAATCGTAATCGTAGTATAAAGATTAATGCTCAGCCGCATAACGTACGCAAAAGAGCCATACATATAGACAATAATATAGACATAAATATATACATAAA